GACTTTTCTCTAGAATTCTCAAGAATGTAAAGTGCCAAAATGAGGTCAACCCCTTTATATTTATAGGCAAAATTTATGGGGGTAAAATGGTAAATCCATCTTTCCCGCCCAGGAATTTAAACAGATACATTTTGAAAAAATTAACCTAGAATTTGGAAGGTCGTTACGAGGGATCCGTCAATTTGGATGAAAAAAAGGACGGACAACTAACAGTGCATCCAAATAGACGGCTGAGCTAACAGGAGTAAAGTCTTCATTTCAAAAGGCATATCGCCCGTACCTTTCTCCAAAAGCCTAGGTGGCAAGATCTAGCCGCCTAATCTCTGGACCATATCAGTCTGGAAAAATTCCACGCGGACAAAACATGACTTTCAGTCTGAAAATCGTTCGCCCCTTCAATTGGAGAACATGATCCGTCCACCCCTGCATACAAGCTCAAATCTCTGCATGCTCGGACGCATTAAGACATGTAGAGGATCAGAGGAGGCGTCATGTAAGCGTACGAGCCACCCCCTCTGAGGGGCAAATGTTTAGGGTAAAAATACCTCGTATACGTGGGCCAGTCCCGTAGTGACACATGGCCCAATGAGAGGGTGACACGTTTCACTATGGGAAGATGCCACGAATTCAGGCTTAAAGAACTCAAGAGCAAGGGCCAATCCTATAGCGACAAGTGGAGGGTGACACGTGTCACTATAGGAAGATGCCACGTGTTTAGGGCATATAAAACCCCTTAAATCAACACAAAAAGGGGCCTCATTACATCATGGCCCAAATCCTGAGAGATATTCCTAAAAGCCGTAAAACGGAGCCCTCCATGTTACGCGTGGCATCGTGTGATTGCGCAGCCAATCACGTCACGTAATTGTAGGGTACAAACCATAAAAGGGCACAAGTTCCCACCCCTATAAATACCCCAATCATTTATGATGGAAGGGGTGGATTATGACATTACAAGAAAAAGAGCATCAATAGCTCCAACTTCTCTCTACTTTCTCTCTCTAGCCTTTTTCTTTTTCGATCACTAACTTGATCGTCGGAGGCGAATATTCCGTCAAACGGAATATTCGTTGTTTTGCAGGTGTTTCAGTCTCGTTGTTAGAAGAACGCGACTAGTATCCTCCCCAAGCTAGTAACCGAAACAACATTCATGGAAGGAAAGGGTAGGTGAGGACCACAAGGGGAGGGGACCATTTTCTTCCTCCCCAAGCTTCCTCTTAACCGCCCTTCTCATGCCACAATGGCCAATCCCCACGCGCCATGTGGCACCAGCCTTTGGCACCAGGCGTTCCCAACTGGCGGCCTTGGGCTTGGTTGGTCATGCGCGTGCCTAGGGGAGGTGCACACTCAGCAAGCATGCCACACTTGCTAGTGCGCTGCTGTAGGGCGCTGCATGTTTGGTGCGCCAGCAATGCTGGTCTCACACTAGCCCCTACATACGCGTAAGAAGCCATGCACGTAATGTCGATTGCTACTGCTGCTTGTGCGCGGCTGGTGCAGCCATGCGCGTCCAGCACCATTACCTTAGTGCGGTGCGCATGCTAACACCATTTGCCCCTAGCACTTGGTTTGCTCGAGGCATTCCGATGCTAGGGGTATTTTGGTAATTGTTAATTAATTAATTTGATTTTACCGTCTCGTATTTTATTAATTCAACTCGACTTGCGATGCTCGGTCTCGATGCTCCTAGATCGATTTTCGACGTCTAAATACATAATACTCGAGTGACTCATTAATTCCTTTTGGATTAATTCGTCATATCGCATCGTTAGTTGCTTGGGTGTGACCCGAAGGGTTTAGTCAAGATTAAGCTGTAATTTTAATTATGGATTAATATTACTGATCGGAAGCGGCCTCCAACTAGGTATTTCGACCATTCGACCTCACTGAATAATTAGCTTTCTTATAATTCTAAACCCTCTATCGGAATAATACACTTGTTCGAAGGACACCATTCCTATCAATGACAATATCGTTGAACTGATGGGCATAAAAAAAAATAAAAAAAAAAATAAAAAAAAAAACCTAAAATCAAAGCAATTGAAAAATAAAAAACCCACATATTCAAAGAAACCCTCAAATCCATACAAATGCACTCAAAAAAATGTAATACAATTCAAAAAATCAACATGCAAACATCAACCTAGTAAATAATCATCAATAATTGAGACTGGATTGAAAACTTTGAGAAATTAAGAGAGTTTAAAAAAAGCAAACGGAAAAAATACTCCCTCCGTTTTTAAATACATGCTACATTTCTCCATGCGCGAAGTTTTAGGAGAAATTAGAGAAATTAATAAAATATGGAGGTAGTGGAGTATGGGGAAGAATAAAAAAATTTATGCATCAAAAAAAGTGGAGAGAATTGGAGGAAAGAGAATATGAAATTAATAAAATATGATTTATGTTTGATCCACTAGGTCAGAGAAATGAATTAAATATTGTAAAAGATTTTCAAATAAGGAAATGGAGCAAGTATTAAAAACGACCGAAAAAGGAAAGTGGAGCAAGTATTTAAAAACGGAGGGAGTACTAACCATGAATGCGGAGTCGCCGGTGAGAGAGATTCGCCAGTGAGATCGTGAGAGAGAGAGAATCGCCGGAGATAGAACCAAACTAGGGTTTTTTTAAGGGGAAACGTTCAACTTTTTTAAGAGTGACAAATTTTCGTTTCCTGATTATACCCTTAAAAAAACGGTTTTTTCAGTCCGGACCGGACCGGAAATCGGATTCACCCATTTGTAAGGACCGAGACAAGACTTGAAACTACTGGTCCGGGTCCGGTCTAGTCCAGTCCAAACCGGTTCGGTATTGGTCATGTTTCCAATCCGGGTATATAATGTAAACCCCTAATTACGAGGCTACGGCTAGGTGTTTGACCTACAATGTGTTGTTGACTTATTTTCTCGTCTTGTCGATTCCTAGATTTGACTCAAACTTCGACGCTCAGTTTCGACGCTTTAAGCTCAGAATTCGACGTTTATTTATGAAATATATCTATTGCCATACTAATGCCTTTCGGCTTAATCCGTCGCTTTAATTTGGTTGCATGATTAGGTGTGATCCGTTGGGTTCAGTCAAAGGAAAGTCGTGAGATTAACTATATTAATCTCATTGATCGGAGATGGCCTCTAGCCCAGCTTTCACATCAGTTAACTTCACTAAATAATTAGTTGTGTAATTAATTCAGAACCCTCTATCATAATAATACACTTGTTCTAATGATATGGCACCATTCGTTTCATATCGAACAATTCCTTATGACTATTCACGTTAGCCGACCCCAAATCATTTTCAGACTAAGGGCATGTTCACATTTACTGAACTGAGCTGAATTGAACTGAACTGAACTGATTGGAGCTGAATTGAACTGATTGGAGCTGAACTGAATTGAGCTGAAATGAATATTTTATGAGAGAGGGAAATTAGGAGATGAACTGAGCTGAACTGAATTGATCGGAGATGAACTGAACTAAATTGAAATTAAGTAAATGTGAACAGGCCATAAGGCTTTGTTGTTGGTAAATAAATAATTGAACTTTTACCAAAAAAAATGTTTCTGCAAAATAGTAGGAACTTTTTTAATTGTAAGAATGCTTTGAAACTTCCTAACTTAAAAGAAAAAAAAAAAAAAAAAAAAAAAAAAAGGTAAATTGTAATGCAACTCATTATGTTTGATTTGCGACTAGCCATATACCTTTTGGTTACCTGCAAAACAACGAAGTAACTCTTATAGCACTAACTAACCTGCCTTGTTATACTAATAGAGCAACACCAACTTATTATACTTATTAAGTAAACTTAACTAACAAAGAATGCCTACTATACCGGCAAAGAAACCCTATATTAATCACTAAGTATTGAACCCCTATATTACTAACCCTATAATACTAATAGAGTAATCTCATGGTAATGGCCACACACTCACAAGTGTGGCACGTGTAAAAGGTAGTGATTGGTGGATGTGCTATAAAACAGTAATGACCATATATGTTTCGATTTTTAACATTGTTAATATCTTTGATGATATCATATTATTTTGATGATTAATAATAATATTTAGTCTATGTTAATTATATTGACAGCTATTGTATTCAAATTTTTAGGGTCAGGGCAAAATGAAAAACATTTTGCATTACATAAATAAAATAAGCAATATTGTAAGATACATAAAAATTTTATCACCACCAATATTTCTAAAATATTTATCAATAAAATACTATTGTTACCAATTATTTATATCCTATTCATCCGTTGACTTATTTGTTTTATTTACTCATACTTTATTTTATCAATTGACTTAAATTTAAAAGTGTAAAATCATTTCTCTGACAAAAGTATATACAGAGTATTATATCATGCAAATTTAATGTCATATGTAATAAAGTAATATCAATAATGACACGTGTCAAAACCTAATGTACAAATTTTCACAACTTTATGGGTCCTTTCAATTTTTGATAGTTTTTTAATTGAACAAAACTTGATTCAATTAATTGTAGCTATTGATCTGCCAACTGATTCAACACCGTATGAACCACCAAAAAATTAGAACTTTTGATGATAAAAGATAAATCATATACGCCGATCAAGACCATCGTAAGGATGAGATCTATTATTATAAATGATTAAAAAGGAATTTTGGGGCTTATCACTGATCAAGAAACTGGTGGTAGCCCCTACTGATAATCACAATGGAGATAAAAGGAGAGAAAGATGAAGGACAAAAAAGGGAAAAAGAAGAAAATCGAAGGAAAACCATAAAAATAAAATACAATAAAATAAAATAAAATAATAATAATAATAATAATAACCTATTGGTGTTTAGACATAATTAACTGTCTTTCTTTTTCCTGGTGAATTATTGTAGAACTTAGGTTGTAATTAAATAAGTAGTACATTTATTATTTCCAAATCTTACGTTGCATGGGATCCGTAATATCAAAAAAGTGAGACAAAAATCTTGTATAGAGCATATTGGGATGAATGGGATGATAACATCATACGAACTCAGACACTCACATTGATCAGGAAATTCCTGAATATAAACATTATCTTGGGAATCAAAATGCAGCAGCCAGATATGATGCCTCAAATGTACTAATGTACAGAGAATGACAATACAAAAAATGTATCTCTATGTCTCTAACCTAGGTTACGACTGGGGCTAGGTAAAAAGCCTATGGATTAACTTTGAATATACATTCATACTTGGATAGTACAGTATTACAAAGTCAGATCTAACTCCAAGTTCTAATATGTTAGCAAGCTCAAGAGAGAATCTTAAAATTCTGTTTCATCTTTAACAGTGATTGAAGATTTCCTCGGATAACAGTCGCTTGGGTCAGAAACTAGTGCAGCCTCAGCCCTGGTTAAATCCATCATCTTAACAGATCTTTCTGATCATACAGCAGCTCAAACGAATTGAGTCCCATTACTATAGTTGCATGCTCAAGGATGCATCTTACAGCACAGCTTCATCTTCATCATTATCACTATATAGAAATTCCTCAGAGTCTGAAACTCCTTCTGTAGTATTGGCCTGCGACTGTTGAAATTTATCAATGGCATCTTTGGCATCAAAAACTAGGGCATCTTTCGCTGCTTTAATGATATCCTTCACGTGAACAGAGTTTACAGAGTTTTCTTTTCTATCCAATTGGTTACGAGCTGACTTCAGACAGCGTGAGAAAGCCACCGTTCTCTTATTCTCCCTGATGTGCAATTGGTCAATATACTTCTCATGTAAAGCCATATTCTTCACCTTCTTCAGAACTGGAGGACTTGTAAGGGGGCTTGCACTTCGATTGCTGAACCTCGAAAGGTGGTTCTTACGGCCAGAAGAAGATCTGTCCCAAGACTTTGAGGAATCTGGGCTTCTCTGTAATTGTTTCGGAGTCAACTGTACAGCATTCAGCTGAAGGGCTTCAGCTGAGTAATTTACTGAAGGCTCAAGAACAGCAAACAAATCTGCTTCATTATCTTGATTCACATGACAATACTTCTGCAATAATTGTCTCACAGTTTTACGTGCCACCCGGCTCTTACACTTACTCTTGCAAGGCCTTTTTCTCTTCGTTTCAACATATTTAAACAATTCACTTCCAGAGACTAAGTTAGATGGTAAGTTCTGTTTTTTAGCTCTTGAAGATGACTTAGAGGAAAGTGGAGTCTGATTGTCTGAGTGAGCTTTATCAAAACATTCTTGAGCAGACTTTCCTGGAACCTGAAACAATTGGATGACCACAACAGTGAGACATGAACATAAGACGGTTCTTTGAAAGTTGCTGCAACTGTTTTAGACACATGCACATCTCATCTACAGAATTTAGGATGATAATGTTTAAAATGTAGACTTGATACACAACCAAATTGCAGCTGAAATTTTCTACGCCAATGCAATAAATGTATCAACCTTCCCTTCTGCTACTCTTAAGTAAATTCTTAACCTCACCTGAAAAGCAGAACAAAACCAGAAACTCCGAAACAAAGACAAAGTCAAATCCTCCAATAATGCAGCCCTTCAAGCACGTAGAAATTCTTAGAGGCCAAATCCAACAAACTAAATATTGCTTACTCTTCCTAATAATTATGAAATCTAAAGTGAGAGAGATATATCTTAGCTCTTAGAAACTATTTATAAATGTCCCATGATATCTCTTACACACTACGGTCACAAGCTCGCAATGTTGGCGTTGGCCTAAAGTGTCAACTTTGAGGACTCTGCAAGTTTATATTTATCTTTCCCATCCTCTCACATAATTCAGCTAAAAGTCTCCTACAACATGAAATGAAAACTAATTTCATTCTCAAAAGTTCGACTCACTTACTGTTTTAGAGTGTTTCAGATAGTTCAAGTCGCTTTTACTTCATCCCATTTTTAGCAAAAGCCTTTTCACTACCTTACTCCTCTTAACCCACACTATTTTGCAATGGACTCAAGACTCACACTCAGGAAATAACAGATAATAGCAGAAACTCAGAGTAGCTTTAGGCTACAACTCTAATGTGAAACACAATACAAATTATCAGCTGCCTTCTTTCATTCCCTCCTCTCTCTTATATACAAGGTTTGGATCCTCTGTCCTAGTAGCTGTCCTCAGTCAGATGCACCACTATTTGATGTAGTGTGCTGTGGCTGCTTGCCCTGCTGGTGGCTGTTCTGTATTCTGTAGTTGCTGCTCATCAGTGGTCCTCCCTTGTTTCTTCCTTCTGGCATATTGGATAAGATAGGTGGCCTTGCTGCTTGTTCTATCACAAATTTACACTTTACCACCCGCTCTCTTACTTTATCCATCTTTAACTTACACTTTCCACTCACTATCTCTTATTTTATCAACCTTTTCCTTATATATCTACCCATGTTTTTGTCTAATTGTCTTACTTTATCCACTGTTTCTTATACACACTCACTTTTCCCAACTTTCCCAGAGAAAGAGTTAGAGTGAGTTTAACTTTTGAAAGCAAAAGAAAGTATATGAGACTACTTGATTTAATCCAAGTTCAAATATATCCCAACCTTAGAATCAGATCTTTAGACCTTTTCTTAGTGTAATACTGTAAAAAAAAAAAAAAAAAAAAAAAAAAAAAAAAAAATAAAATAAAAAATTGTAGAACAAAGGTGAAAACAGGTCAAAAACAAAATATATTAGTGAAATCTCATGCATAGTTAGGATGTGTAAAAACATGTGGAACAAAAAAAAGGTTGAAGAATTGTTGTTTGTAGACATGCACTGTACACCGGTTCAGAACCAGAATATCTGATTTTCGCAGACCAGAGACCGGACCTGAATCATCCAGTCCGGTTCTGGTTCAGATCTGGAGTTCAAATCAGACCCGGTTTTGGACCGGTTAGCCAGAGTTTGGGTTATAGTGAGAGATTGAGAGTGTGGGTGAGACTGTGAGAGGAGATGGAGGAAATTACACAGTAAGAATGAGAGTGGAGTAGGGCGGCTATAGGAATGGGTTTCATTAGGTTTAGTTTAGGTGACAACTAAACTTAAATATAAAAAGTAAAAATAAATACAGCGGGACCAGTCTCCAGTCAAGACCAGAAAATTCTAATTTTTTCCTGGACCTGAATCCACCGGTCAAGTTCCGGTCCAGTTACAGTTCCGGTCTGCTTTATGTACACCCCTAGAGCACTATTGTATGAGCAGACCATGTAGACATCAATGTGACTGGCACTACACTACATACTGCAATTTGAAATCATAGTATGACACAGCCATGTACTCTGAATTTAACACCAGCCTAGCCTAATTATTCGTAAGGTGGTCTAAAATCCCTTTTTAAGCTCCCTAGGCTAAATATGCATGCCTTGAGCAGACATCAAAGGTTACCTTATTTTATCATAGGACAGCTTGTTCCCTATAGATCATGCAGCTTTTCTTGCAAAACTCACCATAAATTTGGGAGCTTAGGGGTTGTTTGGCACCATTTTTAGTTTTCAATTTCCTATTTTTTTGAAAACTAAAAACCAAAAACAAGAAACTAGAAAAAGGTATTTTTCACTTTTTTGTTGTCAGTTTTCAAAATTATTATGATTTTAATAAGTTTAAATAATTTTTTATTTATTATGTGACATGTATCACATACTTTTATACAACAAAAAACCAAAAAACAGAAAATCACAGCAATGCCAAACGAACCCTTAACTTTCAAGGACTATCTTGCATCATACACCATGTCCATTTAACGTAGTTCACCTTGGCAACTTTATTCTAAAGCTTATACTTATCATTAACAAACCTACAAAATTTTCTATCAAACTTCATTAGACTTTATGAGGTGACATCAACAACAAATTCAATAAAATAAAAAAATAGCCCACGTTGATAAAGTTTTAACTAACATATCCATCCCCTTCCTCTTATATAAATCCAAAGCTCTAGTTTTTTTAGCTCATCCAAGGGATACATTCAAACTCCACTGATGCAGCTGCAAAAGCAGCATATCCTAAGCATCATTGCAATCTCCAATTCTCCAAATGGAGCTCAAAAGGAACTTACTACTGATAGGCATCCTCTCCGCCAAAAATAGAAGTTAATGTATTCAGCAAAAGTGCATGGTCACCTTAACATTATGGCTTTTAGTCAGTTGTGGCAGTAATGGCACCCCATTCAGAAGTAGCAGGGGGGTGAAAGTGAAGGAAAAAAAAAAAAACATCCTCATTCACCAGCAAGTCTATTTTAACAGAAAGAGAAAATTTTGTTACTTGTGATCACCAATCAAAATCTTAACAAGCTATATTTCAATTTTGTGGGAATAGTAAGCTCAAATCAAATCAAGTCATGTCCCTTAGCCTCAACTAAGTTCTGCTAAGGTATCAATCTTCATTACATATCTGCATTAAGATACTCCTGTCACATCTCCTTTCTAAAAATACAAGATCCCTTCTTCCGAGATGCCTCCCATTTTACATGTTTTTCATAAAACTTATTACCAATAGAGGTTACTTTCATCATGTTTCTCGTCGATGTGTACTTGCTTTGATCTTTTCCTATATGTTTAAGGTCGACATAACAATCTCATCACACACCACCACAAACATCTAGGCTTGGCACTTGGACTGGAAAAAAACTATGCCCCATGAATGAGTCACTAACCTAATAGCTACTTTATGATAAAGTGGTATTTTCTTATTGTTGAAAACTAATGAAGTACTACATTGTCAAAATATCATACCTTACAAAATTGATTTGAAGTCAATATCTCTATTTAAATTTCAAAATCAATTTGGATAAATGATTGCCTTTATTAATATAAATTGAAAGAAAGAAACTTTCTTAATAAGCAATTAATTGCTAACTATCAACATTTTTTGTCTTTGAGGAAAATACAAAAATAAAAAATACTTATAAAAAAGGAAACCTGCAGTAGTCAATTCAAATTTTAATTATTATCTCTGGAGACATCAAACTGCTTCGAGCTGTTTAACTTCAGCAACATTTGTTAAAGGTTCTCAAAGTCTGAAAACTGTCAGATGACTGGTAATTACCTGTGCTAGGCTAATAAAGATGCAAAAAAGTTAGTTGTATCTATAGTTCAATATCCAAAATCCCATGAGACAAGGTCAATGGTCCTTGAGTAGTTTAGTTCTTTAACAAATTAAATCAACAAAAACCCTCAACTCTTAGATTTTGGCAATACGTATAAGACCAACTAGTGAATACTTCACTGATTACAACATGTCAAAGCTTCATTCACAATTTGAAACTATTTCAGAAAAATCCTCAGGTATCTAATAAATAAAAAAGAGAGGTTGAGCTTTGGAAAGGAATGAATGATTTAAAACAAGAAAAATACAGGGCAATGTCAATATTGTCAAATCCTACAAGTTCATCAATGTTTGCAGTGCAGCACAGATGAAATCAATACTTTGCTTCAAGAAAGTAGCAACATAATTTTTCCAGATGCTTTTTTTATGTTGTGTATTGTGATAGGGCCAAGGGTAGGAAGTTACTTTAATCTACTATAAGTATAATATTCTAGTATCCCTGCATTAGATCCTATTATACTTATCCTGCTTCAAGACTTTGGAAATGAGCTGTAAGCAATGGTACATTGGTGCTTATTAATAACAATTTGACAATCAAAAGAAACCATTCTATTTATCAAATAGCAAAAAATGAGATTAATATAGAAGCAAAATCTATATTCTAACACATGATGCACAGCAGAAAACTACTGATATTCTTTTACTCATTGTCTCAGTCCACACATTAGCAGAACAAATCAGAGCAATGTGCATAATAAACACAAAGAGCAAGCAGGCATAAACATCAAGATCCAAAAATAATGGGGAAAATACCAGTTTAGCAACTTTCTTCCAAAAATGCGGACTTGGTTTTGCAGAGAAATAAGCTTTATGCAACGCTACTTCCTGCTCCTTTGTCCACCCTTGACTATTCCCTTGAAGCACATCTTGCTTTCTTCTCCTTTTCACTCCAGTCAGCTTGGATTCCCTTCTTCCTTGTATATCTACTTCAGCACAATCATCAGATTTCTTTTCCTTAGCCTTGATGTCTTTTGAATCTTTCTTCTCGTCTTCTATAACACAGGCAGACAACACTGAACCACATTGTATTGTCATTCGTGGTTCAGTCTTAATGTATGAAACACTGCCTGTAGAAGACATTCGGGTGCTCCGCCTCAACATAGTTTGACAATTTAAACCCACCTGTTTAGAAACACTACGCGTAATTCTCCTCTCCACATTTCCATCTTTTTGTTTGCATGAATCATCTGTTTTAGAAACACTAAGCGTAATCCTCCTCTCCACATATCCATCTTTTTTCTTGCAAGAATCATCTGTTTTAGAAACACTACGTGTAATCCTCCTCTCCACATTTCCCTCCTTCTGTTTGCATGAATCATCTGTTTTGCCATCCCTTCCATGTTCATCATCAAAAAGATTGTTTCGTCTTCCCCTTTGACCTCCTCTATTAACACAACCAGAAAGATAAGTCGACTTAATTGTTTTAGAACCTTTACAAGAATCACTTCTGTTTTCCTTCCCCTTAGTACAACTTTTTCCTTTCACTTCACCACCTACTGTAACAGCTGAGGGTTGCACCGGACTGAGAACTTTCCTCGCTTTCCATTCATAACTCTGATTGTTGAACAAATTCCTGCCTATTTGTTTACTTTGTGAATTCAACCCAACAACTACTTTTCTTCCCAACAATCTAGAACAACTACGGGTAATCCTCCTCTCGGAATTCATAGTTCAATCCTAACATTAAAGGGTTGTGCAATACATTAGCAACCAAATTTGATTCAATTATCTCGAAAAATCACATCTTTAGGATATGTGATTAAATTGTCAAATTAGGCCCAAAATTTTCTTTTCATAATCTTAGTATTTTAGAATTAATTTTTCGAACCCTACATTTACAGCACAGACAATTAATTTAAATTAAATTAAATCAAAGATAACCCTAGATTGCAAAATTATTATGATAATTACTAAAAGAAACAAAAACTTACCTCAGAAGCTGCTTCAATACAAGTATTGGACGGCAAGCAAGGATACACGGATTCGTCAGATTGTAGCCGTCTCCCGTATCGGAAACGTTTCGGGGACGGTTACGGCTTGGAAACATCCCAAGGCGTCCCCTTCGAAAGTGGTACGGCAATCCAATTTGGCCCAAATTATTTGGGGACGGCTAGCCTCTTGCTCGGGTACGTATTAAGGATGGCTTAGACCATTTTCTGACGTTTCCTTGGAATTTTAGGCCATATTTTTTTGAAAAAAACCCAAAATCAGTAAATTACTAACCTAATTTTGGATTTCCCCCAATTCTCAAAAACTCTAACAATTGCGAACGGCGATTCCCTTGGAGATGCGACTTGGTTCAATCTTCTGTGGTGACCGGAGACCACCGGCGACTAGAGAGGCTTCGGCTTCGGCTTCGGCTTCGAGCTTCGAGCTTCGACCGTTAATGTTTCTCTTTCTTCTTCTATACCTCTGTTTTTTCTCTTTCTTGGAAACTTTTTAGATATATTTTTTTTAATAAATATTCAGATATATTCAACAATTTAATAAATATTCAGATATATTTTTTTTTTAACAAAACCACATATAAATTATATTGAACAATTAAATATTTTAGAAAGTTTGGTTTATTTTTTATGTAAAGCAAATGTATTAAATCAAATGCAATCCTTTTTTAGAAGCTATAATTTTTAAAACAAGGATCATTATGAAAGATAAATTTCTTTAGTAATTATTATTGGAGTGAAAATTTTTAATAAAATTTTGCCAAATGTCTGTATTAGTTTATCCTTAAGTAATATGTAATAGATAGATATGCAGCAACGTAAATGCTATATTATCATTTTATTTTATTTGTTTAAGGGATTTTTTTTATTATTCAACTATCATAATAAATTCCTTCTAGTAAACATATTTTGTGGTTAAAAAGAAAAAATCTTTAAAATTGTTTTGCATTTTTGGGTTATATATTTTAATCAACTATAACCTTATGAATTATGGTTGAGTAACTGATCAAAGAAATGAAATTAATTTTGCAATCATATTGCTGTTAAAATATATACATATAAGTTCACAATTAGAATTTTAGAATTTGTGAACATGAATAACACTTTGTAATACAATTTAGATGTCATTGGAGGGTGGTTAGTTATGAAAGGAATGGTGTCCTTCGAAGAAGTGTACTATTTCGTTAGTGGGTTTAGAATTATTAGAAAGCTAATATATTCAGTAAGGTCAAGTGATCGGAATGCCTGGGTGGAGGCCGCTTCCGATCAGTAATATTAATGCATAATTAATATTGCAGCTTAATCTTGACTGAACCCTTCGGGTCACACCCAAGCAACTAACAAACCGAAGCGACGAATTAATTAGGAATTAATTAATAAGTTGACCGAGTAATTAATATTTAGACGTCGGGAATTCGAGCTTAGAGCGTCGAAACCGAACGTCGGAAGTCGAGTCGAAAAATAGTAAAAGACGAGACATAAAAATAATAATAAATCAACAAAGACCAAAATACCCCTAGCATCGGAATGCCCCGAGCAAAACGAGTGCTAGGGGCATATAACCTAGCATGGTGGCTAGCATGCGCACCAAGCCGAGGCTAGAATGGCTGGTGCGTGCTAGCACACCAAGGCTACCATCGAAAGGCTAGGCACTACCTAGTGCGTGCTAGCACTGCTGGGCGCTGCCTTATGCGCGCATTGGCTAGTAGCCATGCCGCAACAAGCCGCAGCAGCATGGCTGGGCCAATGCGTGCTGGCTAGCACTGCTGGGCCTGCTGGGCGTGGCAGCCACGGTAAGGCAGCCCACCTTGGGTGCCTTAATGCCCAAGGGTGGGTGCCATGTGGCGCATGGTGAGAGCTGTGTGAGGTGATGTGTTGGGCGGTTTTGGAAGAGGGAGTGGGGAGCAAGTTTGGTCCCCCCCTCTCCTCCAAATGGTCATCACCGAACCTCTCACATGAGCTTGCCACTTGTTAATTTATTACTAGTTTGATTATTAATTTTATTTTAGCTTTAAAATAAAATGGGAAGATCAAATTCTCCCACATAGATGGGAGAGCTTTTCACTCTCTAGTTTTTCCCTATAAATACCCAAGTTAGGGTATTGGGAAAATCACTTGAGTGAGAGTTGAAAAAGGCATCACCATTGTGAAAACCTTTGAACTCATTAATCACTCGGGTTTTTGGTCGGGCCTTGCTAACCCCAAGGCATTGGACGGACCATTTTCGGTGGTCGAGTTGTGGGTGGAATATCGTTGGAGGCCGTCGTAATTTCGAGGCTTGCTTTCGAAGTAAGAGCTCCTTCCGTTTGGGCGAAGCACACTCCAAAGGCAATTATCTTTTCTTAATCTTGTGATTAATTTATTTATGTTTATGGTTTTATTTATTGCGAGTGCGGTCTTGGTTTTGGGTTTGTTTCCGCGGTGAGTCGGACTCACCAAACCCCAACAGCGGTATCGGAGCCTCGCTCGTTTATTTTTAAAATCATAATATTTTTTAAGGTGTTTTTATGGCTTAATTTTTCTGGTATTAAGTTGCTAATTAGATTAGTAGTTGGTTTATTTATTTTAACCTCGTATTAAAGCTGTCTTTAGCCCCAAACCCAGATTTTGACCCAAAAATAGTGAATTTTGGGTGGAAAAGGTGTTTTGGAAATGGTTTTACCCTTCTAGAACTCGGTTTTTAGCCAAAAAAAACGATCAGAATTGCACGAGGGATTTTTCGTTTTGACGAAAATTTTTAAGTCTTTCTAACCTTGAAAATTAATTGCATATTTATGGTGGTTATGTAATTGGTTCAATAAATATTTTATATGCAATTTTAAACCTCTTTAGGCATGATTACTTGGTGGTAATTTATGTTTCAAAGCTTGGTTTTATTTTTCACATAATTGCAAACTAATTGCATTAAGTGTGAAATTGTTGTTCTTTGAGGCTTCCAAGTACTAAAGATTCAATCTTTAATTATGTTAAGTGATTGAAACTTTAAGTTACTAAATTCCATGAATTTTTTGTTGAACTTTGTTGATTTAATCATTTTTTAGTTGATTGGAATCATAAAGTTTGAAACTTTGTGATAGAAATTTGTTAATCTTCATATTGGAAGATAAAATTTTTCAAGGATTCACAGGTATTAAAGTTGGAATATTTATTGAACTTATGCTCATTATTCCAACTCCCTTTTATTTTGTTAATAACTCAAGATTAATTTAAATTAATTAAATTAATAACGAGAAAATGCCTCACTTATTTTGTTGCACCAAGTTAAACCAATTTAATTAAAGAATGGTTCTTGGTAATTATTTTGGTTAGATGCACTTTGAAAATTTTATTTTAAAATAGACTTGTTTAAATTTTTCATTTTTCTCTATGAATTAGTTCTAAAATTAATTTAGAATTAATAATAAAGTCACGGAAATTTTGGGATCAATGTCCCGTGGCTATGGCACGCAAATCAAGGCGTAAGCACCCTTGGCTAGTCGGGCTGCATAGCAGCTCACATGTGGCTGCCAAGGGGCTGCCTTGATGGTGCGTGAAGCCAAGTTGTGGCTGGTGCGCACGGCCGCAAGCAGCAGCAGCACCCTGCCTTGATGGTGCGTGCGTGCGTGCTGTGGTGCATGGTGTAAGGGCTGTTGTGGCACGGGTGTGGTGCACGAGCATGGTGTGCTTGAGCTTGGTGCATACGTCGTGTAAAGGGGCAAGCAGCCATGGCCTCGTGTCTATCACCTTGCAACCCGTAGAAAACGCTACTAGGGTGTACCTAGCTAGTGTTACGTGGGTTGGTGAAGGCACGTGTGTCAAGCCGTATAGTGCGGAGTTGTTAGACAACCTTGACTTTCATGTGGCACATATGTAGTGCATGAACCACTTGAGTACGGTTGGCCTCGTGTTTGCTTATTTTGCCGTTTTAATTATTTTATTAATCTAATTTGGTTTTAATTATTTTAATAAAATTTGGAGGCTAGGCCTCGGTCTTTGAGCGGCATTGGGAAAACTTATTTTGACAAATTTTGGGTTTTACCGGCTTAATTAATTGGATTAATTGAGTTGGATGCGAAATTTAGTGGGAGCTTCAAACATTAATTGCGCTTATATACATAATCGGTTAAAACAACTTTGACTAGTTTTAATTAGGTGTGTTAATTGGATTAACCACCTAGATTAGTTACTAGTTCTCGCGTGTTTATGCATTGTTACTTGTTTATCGTTGTAAAATGCATGGGCCATTCACAGATAGTGAATGGATGAATGGAATGTATATTCTCTCATAGGTTTTATGAAATGGAAACTAGTGGGGCCCTATTAGGATAGAAAATACGGACTGTGATCCGTGATATATTTTTGTAAATCTAAATACGGTCTGCGAACCGTTGAGTATTTTTGTACCTTAATATTTAGATTAGTCCTAATCGTAGATACTAATAGTTGCATTTATTTTTGGTAAAGTCTTGGAAGACGAAGCCATGAAGTTGCAAATGAAGACCTTTTGAAGATTTGAAGATCTCAAGGGGTCATGCTAGTTGCCAAATGCATCTCTATTTACGTTTGTCGAAATATGTGTTTATGTATATGAATTATATGTTAGATGCATGTTTAGGATTTCGAATGTTGTGATGATTAATTAAGTTCACTTAAATCAACCAACATAGAAACCCTAGGTCCCTAAATATTGAGTAAAACTTTCCATTCCAAAATAACACTTACCAACCGAACGAGGGTAGTGGTGGGCTACGCCAAAGCGAGGCATCACTACCTCTCCAAGGAACGTAAGGCATACCGGGTATGCAAGTTGGTTTTGGTTGTACTCAACGATATGAGTGATGGAATCCTAACATGTCGTGGCAAAGTGAATAAATTGTTAAGAGAGCATTAGATGTGACGATTTATTCAACCAAGAGTGGCTTGGAGCCATTAGCAAAGCTTTGCTTACATTAGGAGATTGGGTGTTAAGACAAGCCAAAGCATGCTTAATCACTCTTTGTTTCTTCGGATCTTGGAATCGACTTATTCTCACCCAAAATGGGGACAACCTTTAAATGTGTGAATAAGACGTTTTAAATAAGTTTGATTAAAATGCATGAATTCAATCTTATTTAAGTATTATGAATGGTTTTTCATTTCAAAATTCTTTCAAATGTAGAATCATGTCTTTAACTATCGACAACAATCTACTGTTCCTAAAACTTCCCGAGAAGTTATCATTTAGCTTGAATTTGGTAAACTTCAAGGAATGGGAAGAGGAACTCTGTTTGACCCTCCGCAATTGCTACCTAGAGCATATCTTGGATACGCCCATCCCGAGTTTCTACTCAAAAGGGATTATGAGATATATGGCTCATGAGGAGTGGAGTTATGATTGCAAGAGAGTCTCTCAACTCATGGTATACTCCATTTCGGAACAGTGGAAGAAAAAATTCTCCAACTACCTTCCGGATGTACTTCTCAAGGCTCTAGAAGATGTGGTTAATTTGTGGGTAACAAAGAGCGATAAGGGCAACTATGA